CTTCCATCTCCTGCAGGGTCGCCAGGGCCTCATACCTGTTCTCCAGTCAGACTGGAGGAACTGGTACCGGTTTACTGCGAGCAGCTCCGGTCCTGGATGTGACTGTCTGCCACTCTGCTGTAGAGGGCACTCCCCAGGGTGCTTCTTCCTTAGGTGCCTGGTCCTGCAGGGAAAGGAAATAACTGTCAATTTCATCCTCTGCCTCCCTGATACCCCTCAGCCTGCTAACCTCCTCCCGGAGCTCCCTCACCTGCGCCTCCAGAGCCCTAAGACGGGCACCTGCCGGACAGGTGTGGGGGCCCCCAATCTCTGCCCCCCTGGCCCTGCTGGGGATCCCCTGCAGGCCAGGAGGCAGGGGGACACCAGCTCCCCCAGGGGCTCAGTCTGGGTGAAGGCCTCAGACCAGCACCGGGTAGGCATGGCCACCCAGGCAGAGGCCCTAGCAGCACTCCTTGTTGACACCATTGTATAAGCTGCTGTTTGTTAGATCTGTGTGGTGTCTACACCCTACCCATACAGGAGTCTCCCTCCTGGCCCTTCCTGCTTGCCCAATGGCACGAACGCCTGCACAAATGCCGGCGCGCTCTTACAGAGCGTGTCTGCGTGCTCTGTTCGCGCTGCGCAGCTCGGGAGCGCAGCTCCCTACTGGCTCAGCTATATGGGACCCGGGGGGCTCCCCCTCCGGATCCGGCTCAGCTGCGCCAGGTCCCTCCGCCCCACTTACCTTCGGGGGATCAGCTGTTACTACCCCCGCTGCCGATTCCTCTGCTCTGCCGCTGCAGCTGCTGCCGCCGCCTCCTCCAGTCAGTCAGTTGGTTAAGGGGACACACGTGCGTGCGACACACACGTGTGCCTGACTCCTCTCCTTCCCACTACTGGTTCCCGAGAACCAGTTTACTCCCGGTTGGAGTAAATGACCCCCCCCCGCTTTGATCCTATGATCATCTCCACAATTTGTGAGTGTGAGCTTTTTTAAAAAACAGAACAAAACATGTTCTTGTTTTCAGGGAGGATGGTTTCCATTTGGGAAAACTAACCAAGTGTTGGGTGCAGCTTAGTGTCTAGTGTTTGCTTTTCCACTGCTAATTGTATTTTTCCATTACCAAATTAATTGATCTAGAAATGAAATTTTCCCCAATGAAAGATTTGTCTAGCAACTCTTTTGCTTCTAAAGGCTTTTCAATGGATATTTATTATCCTGGTGCACATTTTACATGCATCTAGGTAAATATGCCCCAAGCTCTAGGTTATTTTACTGGTTAGCATAAGTTGCTTAGAAAATGTGATGCTATGGGATCAAAATGACTGAAGAAATAATAGAACAGAAGTAATTTCACAACATAATTATGTCAGATGTTAGGGTCAGTCAGCTCCTAAAATAATGCTTACTAAATCATTCGTTCCCTCAAGTTCTTTTTCTAAATACATTTCCACTCATTGTAGCCAACAGTAGCCTAGCCCTGGTAAAATTAACTTACCTACAAGGGAATTGTAACCCTAGATTTGTTCAGGGAATAGCATAGTAGGCTTTGGGAGAGCTGCTAGAAACATTCTCCAAACAGTTATCTATTTACTTTAACTTTTTTTCTCTCTTGAAATGGGAAATGCTTTGTGTTAACTAAGAACATGTACAGACATTCATTCTCCCAGGAAAAACTCTCCTGGGAGTGATTGAACTCTGCTTGTTCCCAGGTTATTTGAAGGACAGTTCCATTCTTGACCTAGTCTTTAGTGCACAGGCCTTGGTGCAAACGTTAAGTGTTACTAAGCTGCTCTGCAGTAGTGACCACAGTGCAGTTGGGTTTGACATCCACGTAGAAGGGGAGACTAGAAGAAGATCTCCCCTACAGTAGCCTTTAACTCTGAAAAAGGACATAATACCAAAATGAGGAAGCTAGTTAAAAGGGGCCCCTGAGGAGCTGAATAATTTGCAAGCAGCATGGGAACTGCTTAAGAACACCATTTTGGAGGCACAGAGGAAATGCGTACCAGAAATAAAAAAACGGAAGCCAGCCCAGAAGAAAGTCAGCATGGTTTAATGGCACAACTGCAGAAGCAATGAACAGAAAAAAGACTTCTTTCAAGAGATGGCAGGCAACTCCTAATGAGGAAAATAAAAGAGTACAAACTCTGCCAAATCAAATGTAAAACTGTAGTAAGATGAACTAGGAAAGAATTTGAGGGAAAACTTGCTACAGATATAAAAGGTAACAATAACATTTTTTTTTACATATATTAGAAGCTGAAGATCAGCTGTAGAATGTGTTTTGCTCTTTTGATTTACTTCAGGGCTCCCCAATTTCTGAGCAGCCAGGGGGTGCACATCCAGGGCCACAGGCTGTAAACCCCCTTTCTTCCAGGAGCAGGGGCAGGAGTGGGGAAGCTGGAAGAAGTAGGGGGAGCCCTGAGACCCTGCAGTAGGAGGAGCAGCACTTGGGCTGGAGCCAGGCTGGGCATTCATAGTTGCAGGCTGCAGGTGGCTCCTGAGGTGCCAGTTGGACAGCCCTGATTACAGCAGTGTAACTAAGGCAGAGCAACTCGGGTAGCAGCCTCTGGCACCAACTTGAGGAGGGACAGAAAAATAGCAGCTGCAGCCCCGAAGTCACTGCTGCCTCCATCTATTGCAACTGCCTTGGGCACCTGGTTGACCTACACCTGTCTAATTTCATTAATCTATCTTGTCTTTACTTCATTAGGAAAACACACTGAGTATCATTCCTGTTCTTGAAATCAATAGGGAGAAATTTGCTATCAGAAGTGTTTCATGCATCTCAATCCTCCTGAGCACAGAATCTGAAACCAGTTTTGCTCTGTTTCTGCAGACAGCTCATGTCATGGAAGGCAGTAGGTCTATTTGCATGAGGCAAGCAGGGTCTGGCCACATATAAGCAACAAGATGAAAAGAGGAGGTCCCATTAAAAAACTGTCTTAACAACCAAATAAAGACTTTAATTTTATTTATGGAAGATGTTTAGAGTATATTGCATTTATTTGGCCCCAGAACTCTTAGCACTGCAACAAATTCCCAGAGTTCCACTCTTTAAAGTGCTTCAAATTCCATTTATATTATTACTATTTTTCACGTTAATGTACATTTAAGTATAAACATTAGGTCTATCAACCCAAAGACATTTATATTTTTATAAAATTCTTTATATTAGGCTAGATTCTGTTCCCACTGTGACCAGCATATATCCACATTTCTCAAGTTAAGTCAATGGAGTTATTCTCATTATACCTGTGTGTGGCTAAAGCAGGATTTGGCCTACAGTGTGTATATACAATTCCGTTTTATATTTTATGTATATATCTCACACATGTAATGAATTACCTTGGAAAGCAATACAATTTAATAAGGAATCTTACAAAGCCAACACTTTCAATTAGCTTTGGCACAGTCCACAATTCCAGAAGAATTCATAAGTCATTTTTAACAATATGATTGACAAGAGTCACACAGTGATCAGCAAATGTGAACTCATATTGCATTAATACACACAGTACATCTGGAGATTCAATCCAATGAGTGTACAAGTAATTCCCTTAACAAGAAATGGTAAAGTTAAGTGACAGGGCATCCATGCAAGCTGACTACACCGTGAACATCTGACATTTTGCTGACAGAGACAGACTTGTCATTAATGTTAATGTTCTTTACACAGCCAGTGAACGAGTCCTGCACAGGAAGCCATGGTGTTTTTAAATTTGCTGTAAAGATAAGGGAAAAAGGAACAAATGAATAAGGTATAAGCTATTTTGCAGAACGCTGAATATTTCATGTTAGTGGACTTACAAAGTTTTCTTTGATAGGTCTTATTTATGAGAGACAATTGGATAGGCTAGTTCTGGTTATCAGAATGTAAGGTGAAAGATTTACTAACACTCCATACTGAACTACATTACTTCCCTGTGGTAGATTACTGTGCACTTTCCAATGCTTTGCTTTTTATTTAGGTAGTGGCTGATGGCTCTGAGCCCTTCCAATTTCAACCAGTCTGAGCACCTTCTCCTCAGCTTAGGTAAATGAAAAAGGAGGAAATGTAGATACAGGCCTGAATGTCTATAGCTACATTTCACTTAGCCTTTCTCCTATTCCTCCCCAAACCTCCTGGGGAATCTCAGTGTAGCTGTGTTGGTCTCTTGGATTCCCTATGTGGTGACATATGCAGCACAGAAAAGCCTACCACAACAGTTGGGGCAAGGGCCACAAATACTGGCACTATAGACTCTGATGCATCTGCGGAGGCTATGAAGCAGTATGGAAATGCAGGGCACCACTCGGTGGATGGTGCTCACCTCCACAAATAATGAAATCCATGGGATTACACAGCTGGATTTCCTACCATGTGTGTGCACGCACACACATGCACATATATTTGTATATGCAGAGATTGAAGTTTGCTCTGCGTGCACATGCGTGCATATACGTGTGCATGTGCAGTGATCAAAGTTTGCTCTCTTGTCCCCTAAGGGTATTCTTGTATGGAGAGGATCATAGGATTGGAAGGGATGAAAGGAATCATTTAGTCCAGCCCCCTGGCACAGATGTAGGATGAGCTATTTTTACACCATCTTAGATATGGCCCTTAATGTATACATGATTTTTTTTAATAGAAACAATACAAGCAAAGAATTGTTAGGTAATACTACCTGGAAGTCCTCCAAAATAAAGTGGATGACCCATGTGTTTGGAAAGTGAGGCTGATGATCCAACAGTGTAGTTACTCTTGGTATCCACCTCTAGCTGCACAATGTTCTGCTTCTGAGTTACTGTAAAGAACTTAGTAAATCAGTAAGAATGCTCTACTCCAGTTAATTCTCAGCCAACTATGACATGCTAGCTTTTAGTCATTTTTGTCTTGCAGAAATGAGAAGTAATTTTATTTCATTCCTATTCAAAAATCAAACAGACATGCATAGCTGTTGTTTATGAAGATGTGTAAAAAGGTGAAAACGTGTTCTCATATATGCAGCCTTAAATTAGTGTAAAGTATACTTTTATTGTTCCAAAGAGTTGTCTTCAAAAGAAAAAGCAATGGAAGTCTTTGGTTCAAAAAAAGTCTGACATAAAATCTGGGCTGTAGAAGTATCTAGCATCTTCCTCTCCTCTCCTCCCACCCCAGTTTCAGAAGAACTGGTGAAATGATGATACAGTACCTGAAATGGAATGCCACTCCCCATCGCACAGTGACTGCTCAAGTGTGACTGATGTCTTGAATTCTCTAGCACCATTCTTTCCAGAGGCTGTGAGCTATAAAACAGTTAACTTTCAAGTTACAAGGGAAAAAGAAAGGAGAAGACGAAAAATATCCTACTCCAGAGTCCAAAGACAAGATATTTTTTAAAAATTAAACACGTATATATTCACCTCTTGCCTCTCTTTCCTGATTCCTTCCTCTACCACCCTGTAGAGCCTTGCAGATTCTTTCTGCATCTAATTTAAGGTCTTTCCTATCCATTTGTGCAGCTGAAGCTTTTGTCCACTTGTTCATCAACTCAGAACTTATTTGCTGCTACATCTTTCTCTCTGGCCTTGACAAAATTAATGTGGGTACACTCATAATCCATTTAAAAATGTTACTGCAAAGATCATTTTCATGGCCTGTTGTTTTGGGAACATGTCATACCTGTCTTGGTACCCTTTAACTGGCTTCTATCTTATCAAACATAAGCTATTTGTCTTCACTTTCTAGGTCCTCCACAGCTTCCCCCCACCCTATACATAATTTCTCATTCATTATTGAGAGATTCATTCATTCATTATTTATTATCTTCCTCCTCTGATCATCCTGTGATGCTAATTCCCATTCTCCTTTGTTAGATTTTCAAATAAGCATCTTTCTCCATTGCTAGCCTTCATGTTTGGGAGAAGCTCCCTGCAAACATACATAAAACCAACACATTATTCAAAACCCTTCTTAAAACTGCTTAGCCATAATGCTGACAAATGTTTTGACTGCTGGTATAATGACTCCACTACCTACCAGGCTGATCCATATTGCTTCTGTTCCCTTGTACTGTCCATCTCTCTTTGTATCAATCTTTTCTTTTATGCTTGTATCGTGCTTGGGGCTGTGACTGCCCCTTTTATTCCATTTGTACAGCTCCAACCACAGAGGAGTTTTGGTCCATAACTAATCTCCTAAACTATGGTAATACATATCACCAAGAAGAAAAACAACTACACATTTCTGACCTGAGGAAGGGCACTAGATGCCCAAAAGCTTGCCCAGCAGCACTCCCAAATATACTGTGCATCCAATAAAAGATATTGCAAAAAAACCCTTTGCCTTTCAGACATTTCCTGGACTGTCAAAACTGCCACAATTCTCCAACCCTACAACTACACACTTGTCAGTGAGTGGAGAAGACATTAAAACAGGGCAGAACTGCTGAAATGCTTGAGTGGGAGACTGTACTAAAAGCAAGTGAGAGACTGTGTAGGGAGCTGCACCAGAAAAGTGCCATATAGCTGTATTCTTCCTAGCAGGCTTGTGTAGGCTAAGAGAGTGGCAGCATGTTTCCTGGTTTTGTGGCTATGGGCCAAAATCCTTGTCTCGGTTTCTAAAGAGTCATCCAGACATGGAAAGACTCTGTTATTCTTATGAGGGGTGTACATGAGCTTTCCATTCATATTACAAGTTTTCAGGTGCTCCTTGTCCTAAGGAGATAAGGATTCTTTAAACTATATGGAAATGACCTGAGCAAGTCAATGTGAACACAGTAGAAGCTGCTAATACTGATATGGGAGAGATTTAGGGATCCATCTCCCAAGGAATGTTTATAAACAACTGTGATGTAGTTTTCCCATATGTATTTTTTAAGTTTGACATTGTACAGAGTCAGTCTAGTGTTCTTCTGCATGATGCCAGAGCAGTTGAAATGACAACAAATCCATACTGACCTTTCCTGCTTCCATATAAACAGCTAAATAGCTGTCTTGCTTGCTTCCAGAATGGAGGAGTACACCTGTTAGGCTTCTTAGGCGGACATTAAATATGATCTTAAATTCCAAGCCCATCACAAAAGAGTTATCTGAGGATTGTTAAGAATAATTGCAAAACATGGTTAAAAAAAGAAAAAAAAAATCTCATGTCAGTAATAAAGACACTGTTCCAGGTAGTGTAATCTCTACATAGCTTACCAATTTTGATATGACCACCTTCATTAAAAAAATAGATCCCTGTCTCCAAAGAACCATTCAGGCATGGAGGAACACCATTGTTCTGATGAGCTGTATCCATAAGCTTTCCATTCATCTTAAAGTTTCTCAGGCAACCCACAAAACTGTTTCTTGGTATACTCTAAAAGGAAGTTTAATAGCATGCATAATAATGATAAATATTAATCATCACAGCATTTTTTTTAGTAATAGATCAGTTAAACAGTTCTTTTGCATTATTTGATTGTGGAAAACACAAGTATGAACTGTATGTAAAGGCAGGAGTAAAAATGTACAAAGCCATTACATGAATGCCAGTAAATCATTAAAGAATCAAGTGTTCAGAAAATACTGTCACGGTGAAAAGGTTAAAGAAAAATCTTAGCTGCAGTACTGCTATGTTGCAAGATGCATGAAAATGTGACTACTAAAACAGCAGCAGTTCAGTTTGGATCTCAACCATCAAAAAAGTTTAAAAAAACATATATGTTTTAAGTTATTTTAATAGCTAACATTGATAATGCACACTTGAAATTAGAATCAGATCTGACATATACAATCCCTTGTAGAATTGACATGGTGATGAATAAGAAGGAATCCCTCCCTTTTGTACTGAATATTACACTTTACCAGCTGGAATCAACATTTTACAGAAAAGGTGGGTTCCGGAGGATAAGATGAATTCAACTTTTGTAGGTAAAGGGAAATGAGGTCTGGCACACGGCTGAAATCAACATACTGACTAAGATGCTAGCAATTCATGTGCACCTGAAGACTGGTGCATAGCTGAGAAAAGAGTTTATAATTAAGAACTTATGGACATCATGTACAGATGGCCTTAGTTCAATGTCTGGGGAAATCTACTGAATCCTACTCATAATGAAGATCTCTCATTTTGATAGTTTATCATCTTCATTTATCATCTGGGGAAAACATAACTTATACTTCCTTACCTGTGGTTTCAATGATGGAATCCCTCCCAGGTAGATTACTGAATTACTGCTAAAGGTGGAATCACCTGCCAGGCTTCCTTGCCGGGCATGCAGACCATCAATAACAAGGCGGCCATTCTTTCCATCCTTACTGAATACCACCTTTGCAGGAAACAGGTACAGCTCAGTTAGAAACTCAAGACCAATGACTTTCAATGGAATTTATGCTCCTAAATAATTTGGGTACCTTTTGAAAATCTCAGACTACATGATATGTCATGTAGTCTTAAAATTAGCATACTTTTCCAGGCCAATTTGAAACAAGCAAAAATATAAAGGAAGATGATGAATCAAGTTTGTAAACAAAGGACCTTGTATGTTCACTAATCCCTTGGTGACCCAGGTTCCGATCTCCATTACTCTGGCATAGAGGCAGAGTAGTTCCATGGCTTTCTATATATATATACCCACCAGCTTCAGAATAATGTGTAATGCTTCACCACACTGTCTATGTTACTGGTCAAAGTGAATGGTTCCCTTTGCCCTTTGGGATGTTGAGCACTTGTGACCTGGGAAGTTGAGTGCTGTTCATGTTTCACATTTCACACAATTAATTCTATTCCAAATGCTGTAATACTTACAGTGTGCCACTGTCCATCATACTTTGCTTTGCTTTTGATTTTTATTTTCTTTCCTCCAGCACCGAATGAAAAGACAAAACGTCCCTTTGAAATGTGAAGAGACATGTATGAGCTCTCAGGTTTGTCCCCCATAAAAAATATCAATCCTCCTGAAGATGCAGTCTGCACTTCTACAGAAAAATGTAACCTTTAGAGGAAAGAAAACAATAAAGAAGATATAAAAACATTGCTTTGTTTGGCTTATGGTAGTTTCTTTCCCAAAACTCCTCACAAATGTGCAAAGAGCCTGATTCTGCTGTCAGTTATGCCACTACAAATCAGAAATCAGAGTCACTGGTGTAAGTGTGCATTTAAGTGTGATCAGAGCCAAAGACAGTTCAATACTGTTATATTTATTGCAATCTCACTGTTTAAAGAGTTCTATTGGAATCCTATTGGAAGAAAAACATTAAATATTTATATTAATGAAATACTTGTATATAAAATTAGATTAAGTGTCTGAACGCTGATATGCATTCAGTAATATAGAGCATACAGAACAGACAAGGCCAATGGATATCTTAACTGATTGGTAGTCATTAAATCCAAACTCAAACTCCTCTCCCAGCAGAGGGGCCTGACAATGTGCCCTGAAGACCATCAAACTCTGGCTGTGGCAAGCCAAGAAAAGATGCAGCTATGAAAGGCAAGGACTATCTTCCGAAAACTCCACAGCATTAGTCTCAGGGTAGGGAGAAATGTACATTTAGGCCACCTTGAAAGGGGAAAGGAAGGTGTGCTAAGAACATGTAGGAACCAGGCATGGCTAGTGAACTCAGACTGGTGGGGCAGTGGAGCATCCCAGGGGAGCCGGGGGGGTGAGGTTTGCAGCCTCCAGCTACCAGCCGGAGTGCCCGGCCAGCTGCAACCCCACCCTGCGCGAGATGCTCCACTGTGCGATTCTGAGTTCACCAGCCCTGCCTGGTAAGAACTGTTATATTTTAACTGGTATGTCTGCATAATCCTTCAGTGATACAAGTGAGCTAAATCACCCTAACTTTAACCCTGAATGATCCAGGTATAAAGTTTGGAGCAGTTTTGTCTATGTTTGTATTCTACAGAATCATGCAGACATAACAGTTATATTCCATGAGCTTGTATCAATATTAGGGCTGTCAATTAATCACAGTTAACATGCGCGATTAATGTGTTAATTGGTCTGTGTTAATTTTTTTAACATGTTAAGTGCACAGTGGCTTTGGAGCGCCCACAGTGAGGTAAAGAGATGGGGCAGGGGCAATTGGGACCAGGACCTGGGGCAGGTCATGGGATGGAGCTGTGGATGGCTCATCCAGGGGCACAGGAGGAAGGTACAGCTCCCCACTGCTGTGCACACCCCCAGGGGAGGCATGGGGGGGATCTGCCCGCCAGATTTGTGCATGGGGCAGAGGTGGGCTGGGGCTCTGTGCCTTGCTGCCTTTGCGCCAGGAGCTACGTGATGCCATGTTGCGCCTCCCACTGTCAAGAGGGTAGGGAATAGTGTAGCCAGAGTGCGGCTCCCAGGGCAAAGGCAGCAGGACATAGAGCCTGCCCTCACCCTTGCAGCCTGCCCTCGCTCTTCCTCTATGCACAAATCCAGGGAGCTCATGCCCGCCATGCCTCTCCTGGGGGTGTGCACAGCAGTGGGGAGCTATGCCCCCCTGCATCCCTGGATGAGCCTCCAGCTGCTGTTTCCCATGACCCACCCCAGCCCCTGCCCCACTCCCTCCTTCACTGTGCTGGCCTTGATCTGCCCCTTCCCTCCACAGACTTACCTGCAGGGTGGGTGGGTGTGTGTGTGTGTGTGTGTGTGTGTGTGTGTGTGTGTGTGTGC